AGACGATCATATAGCACTACAAGGTGATCTCAACCGGGCTTACGAATGGTGAACTAAGAACGAGCTTCAGTTTAACCATGTCAAGTGTAAACTATAATGTGCATACGCTACTGGAGCACTTACGAACAAACTTGTTTCTTCGGTTTTATCCCCGGTACAACTGTCTGTTATTCGGCCACAAAATGAACGCAAGAAACCGATTTTGCCTTTGTAGCGGGCAGCAGGAACTCCGGTACTTATGAATCTGAATACTCCGCTAAACAATGAGAAGACGAAGAAGGCTGCAAAATTTAACTCTAATCCGAAATCTCCTCGATACCAGTCGAAACTTGTTGCAGACAAACTGAATAAGTCAGAGAATATGCATAAGGCAAGGTCTTACTCGCAAACGCCGCGTCACATCGAGGGAAATAGACTTCCCGCACGGAAATGATGTCAGACGTCAAGAATGTCCCCGAGGATTATAATCTATCCTCGGTAGGGGATCAAGTCTTTCTAAACCGGATGATTTCCTTGTTGTTCGATGCTGGGAAACAGATTATAAACTAGCTTCTTTTCTGCCTTTCGTCTCCGCTAGAAGCTGGACGACTCCTCGAAGGTTCGTCCACTTAAGATGGTCTGCCATGATTCAGTGAAATGCCGCCGTATCCCTACACGAACATCATAAAAGAAAGGCTAATTATTACATGTTTTGTGACATTTCTGCCAAGAAGATAGGGCTAACACTGATTAGTCCATTGAGGAGTTACGAATGCACTGGGCAGATGATGAAGGCAACCTACACACTGTGGATTTTTGAATGGTGCAACTATTCCCGAGGAATTGGTGGAGGCCAATCTTAGTCCTACCAGTGCATGGAGAATCCGGAGTGGATTGAGTGTTTTATCGGCTAACTTTAGTACTCTGACCAACAGCTTGTTTGTGAATCTACTCCTGACTTCGGAGCAACAACATAAGTTGATGAATCTTACGGAATCCTGGCTACCATCGGATATTTCAAAATCAGAAGCACTTATCCCAAGATATCCATTTGCTTTCGCAGATTTTCTGGCAGAGAGATTCGGGGTGGTATGGTTCTTTACTGGATGACAGACCTTAAATTTCACACAATAGAACCTACATGCAACATTGACAGAGGATCGGAGGTTTTTGGTGTAGTGCTAACGATGGGTATCAGCGGCTCACGGTCAGCGATATCTACAAATCCACTTTAGGGTCAGGATCCTATCTGCTGGATTGTATGCGGATACACGGCGGAGGCAAATGCTGCCTCATGGAGGCGACTTTTGCGCTGCGGCTGTAGACTTGGATATGGTTGAACGCGATTCATCTGCGGATTCCTTCGCCGCCGTTTATTAGTAACAGTCTTTGCGTGTAAACTAATTGGACACGTTTTATCACCTACCCGGGATTTTTCAGGCAAAATGCCGCACATCCTTGACTTTTGCTCACGCATGCAACACCAGATGTAACGGTTTGAGCTATTCTTCGTCTAGTTGGCAATACTGACTACCGTGTAGTCTCTTATTTTGTAAACGCGACAGTTAGATCTCATTGTCCAAGGAGTACATCGACGGAAATGCTGGTGAGTTGACCTACTCCATTTACAATTGGCCGCAATCTTAGTGGGCTGGAGCATCCTCCATCATTTGGATCTCGATGCTGGTTGGGCTCTCGAGTAATCTACCATAAACTTTAGCATCGTTCCAAGTGTCACAAAACGATCTTCCTCCGAAGTGCCCCCATAAATAAACCAGGAAATCAGATCTTTCGTGCTGAGAGGGCAAAAATTGGTATCGGTTAATGTTTACGCAGATAGTTCAAGCTTACTGTTATTACAGCGGACCGTGATTTATGTATTCTGAGAAAACCTGAGAAGCGAGAACTGTGTGAGCAGCAGCTGGCCGAGGAATCTGAGATTTTTGCGAAAACATCTTTTCGCCTTCCTAAGAAGAAGCATCAAAGCTTGCAACGTTATACTACTCTCTATTTAAACAAAGATATCTTTGTGCTTCATGATGACATGGCTAGTGCCTGTCATATAGCATTGTACTATTCCACTGTGTAGCCAACGAAGACCACGTTGAGTTGGGGGTATTTTCCTAGTCGCCGCTCTACCATAGCGTACATGGAAGTTAACACTGAAACAGTATTGGAAGCAACCCGATTTCTATCAGTTGTTCGTCTGGTTCTGATGCCCTACATCCGTCGTTTCATGCGGTGGCGGAATCCATTGCCACACCTGTCTATTAGTGCGGATCTCGCTTGAAGCTGGTCATCTCCTATGTAAGTAACAAGTCGGTGCTGTGAAGCCAATACACAAAAATGAGAATATGCCATACCCGTGAACTACCGAGCTATGTGCATATCATCGATCATTTGTAAGATCATGGAAAGGATTTTCAAATCGGCCTTGCATCTTCACATTGAGAAACTAGGCCTCATGTATCCTACTTAACACAGATTTCGGATAGCATGCTCCTGTCTCATCAATCTGCTTGTTACCCGAGGGAATTTGGCAAAGCCAATGGATGCCAGCCACCGCTTTATGGTTGTTTTCATAGATTTTACTAATGCGTTTGATAGGGTTCCACACAAACTACTCCTTATCAAACTTCGACATATTGGGATCGCTGGTAATATTTTCTCATGGAGTGCTGATTTCTTAGATGACCTGGTATGAAGGTAAAGGTTAACGAAGTCATCTCTGGCCCTGTTCTCATAACAAGTGATGTTACACGTGGTTCGGTTTTTGGTCCCAAACTATTCAAAATCTTCGTCGACAATTTCCCAGAAGTGCTTCAAGTTGACTGCCAGACCTAAGCCGCTGACCTCAAACTGTGCTCGGAAGTATCCAGGCTTAAAGGTACTGACAATTTACAAGTGCTACACGATTGGTCTCTCAAGTGGCAAATGCCCATCCATCGTGATAAATGCTGTGTTCTCAAGATCGGTGATCCAGTACCTTTCAGCACCCACCACATTGGTGGTTTTCGGCAGAAGGAATGCGGTTCGTAAGAAGGATCTGACTGTAATTGCATCCCCAGACCAAACAACAACACGGGAAGCGTTGCGGAATGTAAACTCTGCTAACAGGATGCTTCGTGTTATACGTAGGTCATTATCCAAAATGACACCTGAGAACATCAGGCCCATGTTTGTCCTCCCACGTTCGTCTTATATCGGAAATATGGTTACCTGGCATAGACCCATTTAAAATGTTCGTATGTGATTTCATCGAGAAGGTTCAGAGGCGCGGATCCAGGAGTGTGTTAGTGATACATGTTTTTATTATTCCTTCGTCTCCAGCGTATAAACTTGTATTCTCCAGACAACCATTGTCGCTGTGGAGGTCTGATTTACAATAGATGCACTTTAAGGAAACATTTCAGTGAGGAGGTGTAGCTATTCTTTCGGCTCAAGGTAGGTTGTTCGACACTAGTCCTTTCGCGCAGAGACTTTGTCCTGTAGGATGTAGTCATTGCCGGCGTGGTAACTGTTTCCTTCCTTACACCCAAAATCGATTAAAATTGTTAACATAATTTTTATCATCACTCCAAAAATTCAGCCATGAAAGCGCTAGACCACAGTTGGAAAGATTTTAAACCGTGGGGCTCTATATCTGGTCCGATGTCACGTTAGTTACCAGGGTTGTGCATGAATCGTACAACCTCCCTGAATATTTGGTCACGAAACAGATACAGAAGAATATTTCACAGAACGGTCGGACTAACACATGCTGAACACACCCGGATTCCGCTGATTTTGCTACAGTTGTAACAATCCCTCGGGGAGCCCAATTTAGCAACGACACGTGATATTCAGCCAATGAACGGGAGGTAATAGAGCCGACACGAGTTTTTCATTCTGCCCTCTCCAACTCTAAGAAGTCTATGCAAATGTTAAGCTTACTGCGTTATTATCCATGACAAATCCACCGTACTTTTGTTCCACTGTTCACAGGGAAAAGCCACCAAGCACGTAGATGGGCTGTCCTTCATTCGATATCAAATTATGTTGAGGCCCTTGAACTTTTATAGAAGTCAGTACCGATGACTACGTTGCGAACTAATATCGGCCTGTGCTGACGAACCCCAACCACTCTGTCGCCACCTAGCGTCTCTCAGCTACAACAAAGATCTGAATGTTAGCATTTCAACTTGGCAAAACAGTGCAATTTGCAAGGATGGAGCAGAAACATGTACTATATTCGTGTCTGCCAACCATGAAACACTCACACTAATTACCCAGTTACTGGTCGAACACATACTCAATCTGATTACGCTTAGTCCCTGAAAAAGCGTTTGTAGACTGGTATCTGTAGTGTGCCGTAGCACAGCAACATCATATCGTATGAACACCTCTAGTTGAGTTCACTGCCGTGTCGGACTTAGAATCATTTACGTAAAAATCCACTAAACATGAGTACATTTGAAAAGTCCCCCAAAAGTTTCGCAACGTTATGCTGCAAATAGTTAATTATGTGGAAGTTCGCGGACTAAACATGCATTGGTAAGGCTGATACATTGCATGGCAGTGAAGGATAAAATAAGCCAGTTGGTCATTGGCTTGTAAATCGCTACGGTGCGTCACCTGACTCAAAACGAATAGTGGCATAAGCCAATGGTTGTCGAGTGCTTAATGGTTCACGATCATGCTGGACCAAAGAGGAAGCTATACTGACGAGTCCAGCGGAGGGTGTCGGTCATTAGGTCCAACTCAGAAAATGTTTAGTAAAAGCTGGGCTGAGAACAATTAGGAACAAATAGCAATTATGAATAGCAGGCCAAAAATCCAAGACAATGGCGCTAAGACAAACAAATGCAGAAAAGTAGTCTAGTACATCCGATGATCTGCCGGAATCGAGGCAGCGGGCAGAGAAGAAGAAAGGCAAGTTCACGAAAAGCGGAATTTATTAAAGAACGCGAGAAAACAGTCTACAAGGTAAACACCTATATTCGCCGCAATTCCGAATGAGGCGGCGAATGGCGTGCCGCACTCTAACGCACTAATGGGCACGATGGCAGAAGTTCCGGACACGTGACTCGCTCCGGTTTTCTCACAATACAATATTCCGTAGCACATACCAGTGGGCCATTGCAGATTTCCACTTCTTCGCAAACACCCGGTGATATTAGGGTCTAAAAGGGGGCGATGACGTTAGATGGAATTGGATAACGTAACTCACAATGATCTTGTACGTCAACATCTTGTTAACAGAGAAGTCCCTGACGACAGACAAGATTTGCAAATCTTTCTCGTTGAGGAACCGATATTCTGTCTGAGAGTCGATTGCAATCTCGAGCTACAAGGAAGAAATTGATGTAAGTGAGAGTGGTGAGGTGATGTTAGGCGCATGCAAACTTACATAAATTCGGATCTGGCTGACTACAGTGAGTGCCTTCCTGCACTCCTCCGGGGCCTCCGTAGTGGTGGTGGTCCGACGGGTCGTTGTGCGTGTGGTGGATTCAGTAGTTGCGAGGGTTGTTGTGGTGGGTTCAGTTGGCTCAGTCTCGGTGGGAGCAGGTGTGGTGGTGGTGGTGGTGGTGGTGGTGGTAGTGGTCGTGGTAGTTGGGGCTGGTGTGGTTGTTGTAGTGGTGGTCGTGGTCGTGGTTGTTGGGGCTGGTGTGGTTGTTGTTGTGGTCGTGGTCGTTTCGGGTTTCTCACACTCACAGCAATCACAGCAGCAGCATGGCTCCACTTCTACTTGTACCTTCGACTCAACGTCCACGCTGACGCCACCCTTGCAATCTTGTTGTGCATCGCGATGAGCCAAGTAACGGGCTTGTCCGAGCAACACACACACCGCCGTGAGGAGAATTACTGATGATGTCCACATGGCTGTAATGCATCCAAGTTGACGGGCAAAGTGAGTGGGTGACAGAGCAGGCCAGATGCAAGACAAGCGAAATAGATGTTGTGTTGATGGAGGAGGAATAAGTTAGAAACTGGTTTAGGAGTTACGGGGGTATGTACAATAGTCCTAAACAACCCGAACTAGTTTGGTTAAAGATGTTTGCTTCACAAGTGGAAGCTTCGAGACCAATTTAGTCAGCCGTGGAATGGAATTAATGTAGAAAGCATGTGAATGTTGGTTGGAGAGAAACTTCGATGATGAGAAGAAGAAAATGGTGGTATACGATTTGTTAAGACATACTGTTTAGTATACCGCTGGCTGTTTTCGGAAGCACTAGTTGTTAGAATTCGCCACTGGTTCACGGTATTTATACTTTGCACAATGCAACGAGTGGGTGTTTCTGGGCTGCATTTATTAACGCGGAGTTGAGGCCACCAGGAGTGGGCAAGCGTTTTTGAGAAGCGACGGTTTGGTCGAGGAGTTCAGTAGGATGTTAAGGATTACACTGGATCCGATTGAGAGATACTGGGGGTCTCTACCAGACAGTAAAGTGCTTCTGATGAAGGCGGTCATAATTTGCATTTCATTGCCATTTTAACTGCGGAGGCCACTGAGGAGACCTTCGGGCTAACACTGATTTCGAATCACCTTAACAAGTGACAAAATGCGACACTGAGTGGCTCGAAACTGGGTCGGTGTCTCACAGTTTCGTTTGATGTCTACTGGTTAAAATTTCTGTTGCGCCTGATGCCATGAACAATGCTTGTATTTGTTGTCTGTTATCAAATTTGAGGAGTTACTTCAATTTCCCCTTCGCCGTGTTTCCCACTATGTTGCAGTTTGAGTCGTTTAGGAGTCAGGCCGATAATAGTAACCCTACAAATTTGGTCTCGGAGTTAAGACGGTTATGTAATCACTGCGATGAAGTCTGGATGCAGCCCTTCCGAGTATTCTGATTGAGGGCATCATGTCTATGGTTGTGGTTTATTGGCACTTTTCTGATGAACATCCTAACGTATTACTGGGAGGTCACATGATCCCCATACGTTACTGACGGATGTAACCGTCGGCTATTTCACACCCGTTAGCTATTTTAGCAAAAAGGACTTATGCTTGCTTTACTACTTATTAATTTCCATAAAAGACAGCTTCATCATTTTACTGAGAATCCTCCCTGCTTTTCCTGGCATACTTTGACAATTTTCACGAACTGTTCAGCTCTCAGAAAACTACAAATAAAATGTGTGTACTCATCCGGTATGCTTAGGTGGTTAGATCGTGACAGCGAAACAGAACTTTCCAGTGGGACTGAGTATGACGAACCGAAATCACTTCAACTGTTGCGTATACTGATAAGTTCAGCTAAGTGCAACTCGGTAAATATCGTCGCTTTTGAAAATATGGCTGTGCCGTCTATTACGAGCCGAGTACATCATGCTAGATCCTGAATTCAGTAGAAAATTGAAGTCACCCGTAAGTCTATAGAAATTCAGAACCACTTGCAATACTTCTTAAAATTGCCACACAGCAAGGAAACGTCAGGTGAAGTGACAGCCTTGGCTATATAATGTGTACTTCCTGCAATCACAAGAGCTTGTATACTTGTGAGCCTGCCCATATTCCAGGCGAATTTTAAGCTCGAATACGAATGCCGCTGAGTAGTAGACGCAATCAAAGTTATAAAATTAGCGATAGTGGAATGGTCCATCGTGGGCATAAAATCATTTGTTTGCCTATTCCCATAATATAGGGGAAAAAGTACAAGATAACATTAGCGTCATTAAACCAAGACCCTAGATACATCACTTATCAAATTCTTTACAGTGACACAGATATGTGTGCTCCTGCCTGATATTTAAGAAGATGATATTGTCTAGTGTTTGTCCTCCACTAATGCCTCAGCCGATAGTTAGGGACAATATTACGTAGTGTAATTGTGTCGATGTATCGCCGAGTCATTTGTTGAATAGCGCTTATATAGGGACACTATTTACTTGCATTAAGAAAGAATTCCAGAAGTAGTTTCGTCGGGATTCCAGTCAGCTGTACTGCGTGGCTAGCTTAAACTGATGGCTCATTAGAGACGTCTTTTGACAATTTCGAAATATTAAGGTAGGTGCAGTTGAGTTTCTAGCTTATCTGACACCTTGTTGTGAGATTGCTCCTTCGAAACTAGTAACGTTCTCTGCAGACTTTTAGATTCTCCAACCTAAAGTTTTACCGAATGCAAGACATTTTTTGATGCTTTTTCTCCTTTTGCGTTCTGCAGTACCGAGCACGGTGACGCTGCACTTCTATGGTTGCCACGCTTGAACAGCGTATTTCACGAGCAGGCCCATTTAAACCATTAGGATTTTACAAAATTACAGAGGCGTTGGAATTCCGAACGACATATATTGGACACCGAAGTGCTGAGTTAACTTTGTTGATGCTATATCGGTCAGCCTGGAACAAGCATGGTCATCTTGAAGGAGTACGCCGAGATCGAACTCAAGAGAAGCGCGCTGCAAAGTTTGTGGTCCTAACCTGATGTCGTGAGTACTCTGATGGCGTCTGCTCAGGACATTTCACGTTGCCAGGTGGATCTAGTGCGTTTTCTAGGTGGAGCATGGGTATTCTAACTCCAGATCACTGTGCAGAGCTGTGTTATCCTCTACTGCAGTGGTAGCACACTATATCTTTAGATCGTGAGCAAAGAGGGGAAAATTTGAAGAGCACTGAAGTATGCCACATTGCAGTCTGATAGAATACATGATCTTTCGGCAGATTGGTAGTGCAGGACCGGTTTTGGCAAAATCCGTGCGGCTGTGTAACCAGAAAGTTTTACTCTCCATGAGTGCCTCAGTGACAATGGACTCCATGACCTTGAAGCTACCTGGAAGTGGTTTTTTTGGCTGAAAATCTGCTGGCTCTGTAGGGTCATAATTTTTGTAGATTGGAATGATGAGCTCCTGCTCCCACATTGCGTGGACCTGCATTTAGCAAAGAGTAAGTCGAAAAAAATTCGGTAGGGTTTGAGCTGAACTCCTGGCAGCCACTTTCTACATCTTTGCGCGAATGCTGTTTGTATCAAGCGAGGTGTACTCACACAAGTGTGTCAGCCGCTTCGGTGCACCTGTAGTTTTGAGGGATATGTGACTAAGCCCTGGTGATTATATGTCCTGTGTAGGCAGAATATAAGATGATGGAGCATTTCGGTAAGTGTGGCTACTTTGTTATCCGAGAAACTTAGTCGCCTGTTGTGCCCTTTGTGTTGACTTGTATGTTGTGTGCTGGTTAGGAATTCTCTAGTTAATCAGCGAACTTTGTCCACGTGTGTGTAGGGTAGTTTCAGGTTAGTGCAAAATCTCAGAACTTTACTCTATCCTCTCGGGTGAGTTTGTGGCAAGGGCTACTCCGTATTGTATACATATACCAGGTTCTCTTGCTCGGAGAAGATATGTGGGTAAACTCAGCCGAATTCCTCGATGCGATGCGTTTCTAAGTCCAGGTGCTTACAAAGGCTTCATTTTTGCTGAGTGACAGATAATGTTTTCCGATATGCTTACCACCATCCTCTCGTGGCTGTTGCAAAACTATCCACAGACCAACTCAGCGCCCCAATATACCAGGAAGGAACAGTTTCTTGCACCAATGAATTTGGACAGGTAATCATAGTTGATTACGACGTGAGATACTTCGGCGGTATCTGTGCTATGTTCCACAATGCACACTTAGTGGAACATTAATGTCGCCTGATCGGTGCGGCCCAAAAGGATGTCTGTTGTTACTACGTCGGGAATGATTTGTTCGTGGGTAAAGGCGAGGCCGGTGATAGCCAGTTCGTTTCCTGTTCTGAAAAGTGTTAGAGAATTGATGTGGTTGTACACTGCTGAACCAGCAACGGGGTCTTGAAATTCCGTCTTGAATTTGCTTACATGGGGTAGCCGGGTTGATATATCGTACAGCTTGAAGTCTCATACTAGGAGAACGTAGCCAAAACATCGTGAAATAGGTTCTGCGCATTTGTAGCTATAAGTTGCCCCATTTTAATAATTGGACAATGCTGAGCGTTCTAAAATAGCCACCAGACGAATATCGGTGTAAATACGTCCACATCGAATCAACTGCTTGAACACATGGAAGAATAAGGCGGTAGGCTTGTAAGCCGGGAAACTACTAAATTATTATACTGCCTCACTTAGTGGGTCAGACGTTACGCCACAAGGACATGCAAGGTAATGAGATGTCGAATTTGGTAATCATGTCTTTTGGCTATGTCTCATATGCCATGATCAGGTACGGAAGTATTAAAGTATAGCAAGACAGAAGTTCGGGCAAATTCTTGACAGGGCTTTGTGCGTTTGCATAAAAGCTATTGAGAACTACAATTACCGGAGGCGTAGCTGGGCACAAAGGTTCCCTTCGAAGTTACCCTAACCATTGCGAAGGTAAATGGTCACCGTTCTTGAATGAATCTCTGAAATTTACTACCTAACCATTCAGAAGATATTTGTGGCTGATTTCCTGTTTTTTATTCAGACGGTGGTAGGTTTGTACGGCAGTTTGGTTCAGAAATGCGTATGGATGTGCTTGCAGCAAATTGTCGTCGGGGTTATGTTCGCTTGGCCAATGGTGAACCAGCTTCCACCACTTTCGATGTACTTCTGAATGACAAGTTTATTTCGTCAACTTGCTAGCAACCTTGCAACCATTTGTTTAGAGTGGAGCAACAATTTTAGCACCCTTAGGCTACATTTTTCACAGATGAGTTTAATGGATAACTCGCAATCAAGTCATGGTGGGAGAGACGGCTTCATTGAAGTGGCGCCACATTTTGCATCCTAAGTTTGGACTTACGACTCTTCCGAAAGGCCAGCTTTTAGAAGCACCATGGACAAAATTGATCATTTAGCGTTCTGCTGGTGCAATTATTTTGGATTTTGCTTCCTTTACCGACCCTTGCTCTAAAGGACGGACATCGCATGACGAATCATTAAGAC